CCGCTGAAAATTTTGGTCAAGCTGCTGACAACTATGTCTGCCAGGTGCAAAACGTTGATGTTCAAAAAGTTGCTGATGGTTTCATCAACCACCACGGCAAAGCCATATTGGTCTGCCAAAGCGCGAATCCGTTTGAGATCCGGTGTTTTTAGAAGAGGGTTACCTGGTGCCTCAGTAAAAAGCCCAAGGAAACGTTCGCCAGCCTTCAGTCGAGATTCCAGATCATCCAAATCTTCCGAGGAACCATGGCCATAGAATACGCAGCCTGGTCCCCACTTTTGAAGAATTTTCAATGTATCCGTGTAAGGGAACCCAAAACAAATTGACGGCAAATCGCCCCTAGTAGCCAGTAAAGTCTGGTGAGCATTGAAGATGGCGCTCATTCCCGAAGGGTAAAGAAGGACATCCTCCTCAGAAATGCCGGCGACTCGACCTTCTGATGAAGCTGCCTCCAGGGCCTCTGGCAATTCAACATCGGCCGTCAAGACACCCGCAATACGTTTGCGAACAGCCAGCTTGGCCTGATTGGCGAGAGAGGTGCTGAGGTTTCGGCCGAACCGCTCCTCAATGAATTGAGCATAGTCTCGGCCGTCATCGGTATTGGATTTGGGAGGAGATTCCCCAACCGAGCCCTTTCTCGCTCCATTGATGCTTTGGTACCTGCGGGGTCCCTTGCAAGGACGCTGGGAGATTGACTCTGCAGTCGCAAACCCTTTGTCTTCCACCAAAAACCCGTCCTCCAATGCTCCAAGACAGAACTCACCTCGTCGACTGGAGATACCATTGCCCGAGTGTTGCCATACTTCCTTCGCAATCGAGGAGTATTCTTTTGGGTAAATGACACATGACAGGGAAGACGTCACTGTTGATCCAGCTTCGGTGTGTGGGGATGGGATGAAGTTGACAATCCGTACTTTGTATGCCTGATCTGCGGGGATCTTGCTAATCAAAAAGGAGTGACAGGTGCGCGCTGGCTTCACCGATGCAAATAGGGTTGCAGACTCGAGGCTAGGGTCACCGACGCGGCGAACAATGTCCTGGGCGAGCTTTTGGATAATAGGATGGACGAAGAATCGAGGATAACCGCATTGCATCTTCTTTATAACCCAATCTTCTCCTTCTTCGTAGCCAACATTTTCCTTCCATGTTGGAAGCGATACACTGACGGCCTCGTAAATGTTAGAAGAGTCATGGAGGGGTTGCGGGGAGTCATACATGGTCAGTATTTGGAGGCACAGGTCCTCCTAAAACCTGTAACATTTCAATTAAAAACAGAAACCAGGGGACAGAAATAGAAACTATTATAGATATTTGCTTCAAACTGGAAAAAAAGAAGAAAGAAAGAAAGAAGAGTTTCTTCAGGTCATAAATGATGCCATACCTCCCCACTGCGATTTCGGCGATGCTCCGGGTACCTGAAAATTACAAATGAGTCAGCCATACGGTACCAGATACAATACCGTTATCGCCAAAAAAAAATCTCGGCCTTCACTAACACCTGCTACGCTCACGAAATGTCGGACCACACATCCAAGCGCAGGAAGCTCAGTCCTTCCCCAGAGAATGCTGTTACCAGCACTTCAGCGAAACAGATATCGAAAGTGACCGAGAAGCGAAACCCGACTCGAGGCAAAGATGAGCGCTCCGCAGAGCTTGCAATGGCCAGCGGCTTTTACAAGTCCAGTTTCTTCAAGCTGCAAATGGACGAGCTACTGGCGGGATTGAGACCCAACTACAGCAAGCAAGTGTCAAAGGTTCAAGAAACACTACACCAGATCAAAACCGCCATTGAAAGCCTGCCCGAAAAGTCTCCGCAATCTGTCCCTGATGCCGAGAAGAAGCTACGTACTTCTGGCCTGGTGGTTCCATGGCCTGAGCCTCGGCCGAGCAAAGATGTCAAGTATAGCATGGCATACGCAAAGCCAGCGAATATCAATGTGGTAGGTAGCTTTGCGCTAAAGACAGGTGCCCGCACTTTGGAGTCGCGCCCAATTGATTTGGCAGTCACCATGCCAAGCTCGCTCTTCCAGGATAAGGACTATGTCAACTTCAGATACTTTCACAAGCGAGCCTACTATATTGCGTGCGTGGCCGCTGGAATTCAAGACACTGCGAACGCCCTCGGGTTTGATATCAAATTTGCACCTCAGGATGGAGACAGTCTCCGTCCTCTCATCTTGTTGGAACCGCGTAAAGCCGAATCATCCAGGCCTACAATCCGAATTCTGACCGCAATCGATCCTGCGTTGTTTCCGATTACGAGAACGCTTCCCCTCAAAAGCAATATCCGCCAGGCTTCGAATAACTCAGAGGTCAGTGAGCCGACCTCGTATTACAATGCCAGCCTCCGTTCCGATGCCGCAGTCTCTCTCTATCACAAGTCTATCTACTCGGCGTCCAAGAAGTGCGATTCTTTCAGCGATGCTTGCATTCTTGGTCGTACTTGGCTGCAACAACGAGGCTTCCATACTCCCTTTCAGAATGGAGGCTTTGGTGGTTTTGAATGGACTGTACTCCTGTCTTTGCTGTTTGAAGGCGGTGGTCCGACTGGACAACCGGTCCTGCTGCCGTCATACAGCTGCTACCAGATTTTCAAGGCCACTATCCAATTTTTGGCCGGCAGAGATTTGACTACTCCTCTATTCTTTGGCCAAGAGGTCCCAGTTCCCTCAGGTGTGCCTATTGTATTTGATAGCCGCAGAGGGTTGAACATTCTTTACAAAATGACCCCGTGGTCATACACCACACTGCGTCATGAAGCGGCCATCACCCTCAAAATGCTCAATGAGTCACGAGAGGACAACTTTGATAAAGTTTTCATTCTCAAGGTTGACGAACCAGCCCTCAGATTTGACCGCTTGATCTCATTCCCCAAGTCATTCAATGGAGACACGCTCCGCGCTCTTCACGAACAGAATGCTTTGTATAATGTTCTTTCCCGGGCTCTCGGAGACAGAGTCAAACTTGTCTCTATTATGAGCCACGCCATTGATTCATGGTCAGTCAAGTCCAAGCAACCCAAGCGGTCCAGTGAGGGTGTGTCCGTAGGGCTGTTGTTGAATGCCGAAAATGTCGGACGAATTGTCGACCACGGTCCGGCTGCGGAAGAAAAAGAAGAGTCTGCTTCGTTCCAAGCGTTCTGGGGTGAAAAGTCTGAACTTCGACGTTTCAAGGACGGCAGTATCCTGGAGAGTCTTGTGTGGTCTGATGAGTTGGAAACATCTATCATCTATCAGATTTTGGAGTACATACTTCAACGGCACTTCAAGATCACCACCGATGAATTCGGATTTGTTGGTGATGAATATGACGAACTCCTCAAAGAGCATGGCGATGGCATTCTGGCATACTCAAGCCCTGCTTTCCAGTCAATCGACGATGCCTTCAAAAATCTTGAGAAATCTATTCGTGGCATGGATGAAGTGCCACTGGAGGTTCGTCACCTGGCCCCGGCCAGTTCCCTTCTTCGTTATACCTCCCTCCGGCCAACGGGAGCCACCGATGTTGTTCTTCAGTTTGAAAGCTCATCACGTTGGCCTGATGATTTTGCCGCTATCCAAATGACCAAGATTGCGTTCCTTTTGAAGATTGGAGACTCCCTAGAATCATCGGGTGCTGCCTCGTCTTGCCGTGTAGGCCTCGAAAATGAATCGAGCAAGGTGATCAACAATGCATATTTGGAAATTCCCCATTCCTCTGGCGTGTTGTTCCGACTGAGGATTCACCACGAGCGTGAACAAACCCTACTCGAGCGCAATCTCAAGGACCGAAATCTGAGTCCGCGGGAACGAGAAGAGGCCGCCTATGCCCTCTTCGCCTACAAGAAAACGTTTGTCCAAATTCCGCGCTTGACACAGGCACTGCGGAGTCTGTGCACACGCTTCCCCTTGTTGTCACCCACCATTCGTCTTACCAAACAATGGTTTAATTCCCATTTGTTTACTGCCCAAATCAGCGACGAGTTGATTGAATTGCTGGTAATTCGCACCTTCACACAGCCTAACCCCTGGGAATGCCCTTCATCTGTCATGACCGGATTTTTGAGGACTCTCCACTCCATCTCTCGGTGGGACTGGCAGCAGGAGCCTTTCGTTGTTGACCTAGGAGGTGAGCTGACCCCACAAGTGACGGAAAATATCCGTACTCGCTTTACAGCCTGGCGGAGCATCGACCCTGCGATGAACAGCCTGGCCCTCTTTGTCGCCTCTGATCTCGATACTGAAGGAGTGACCTGGACCCAATACGAAATGCCCTCCAAGGTCGTGGCTGCTCGGATGACCAGTCTGGCCAAAGCAGCAGTAAGCCTGCTACGAAGCAAGACCCACGATATGGATGTTTCCGAGCTGTTTGATACCTCGCTTGCTCCCTACGACTTTGTTATTCATCTTCGCCCAAAGTTGTTTGGTGGTTCCTCGGCACCCAAGTATAAGAACTTGGCCGAACCCCGTGCTGGAATGATGCAAACCATCAAGTCATTTGTCTGTGATGTACAATCCTGCTACAGCCAGAGCATTTTACTCTTCCATGGAGACGATCGTTGTGCAGTGATTGCTGGCCTTTGGAACCCACAAACCCTGAAGTCGCGAACCTGGAACCTGAAGACGGCGTACTCAACCGCCCCAGGTGATACAGAGGGCGAGGTCGTTATCAACCAGACTGCTATTCTGAACGAGATTGCGCGGTTAGGCAATGGACTCATCGATAATATTGAGGTCCATGCTGAGGAATAGATCTTGGTTTGGATTCAAGCTGTACATTACCCTACAAAATAGTTCGAGCATATATAGCATTTCTTACGAATTCCGTTCTTTTCCCCCTTCAACCCCTTTGGAACAATGAGAGATACTATCATTAACCTCTTAGCCCTCTATACTATAGTAGGTGATACTCTGATCCTGCCCCTAAACATCGACTTAGCATCTTGATATTGGTGCCTAAGGTGTCAATTACTGATAACACAACAATCAGCCTTGGTTTCATCTTCTCTCACCACATCAACAATGACCGGCATAACTCGGGGCCAGCGAGTCCTTCATACTCAATTTCAGTCTTTGAATCACTCTCGTTTCCGCCTCAATGTCCAATTACTGCCCATCTGCGCGCAATCCCAGCTCTTCTCAACCTCCGCCCCGAGCCAGCAATCCCGCCGACACTCCCCATCACCTACAACTGTCTCAATTCCCTCCAAAGCCGAAATAAATGCGCCAATAAGCACTCTCCCTGCCCCCCTCACAACCCCATCCCCTTTAAGCCCCTCCGCAGGCGCAGCAGATAAACTTAAACGCTATGTCGAATTCGGCCGCGCATACGTGACCTTCTACAAAACGGGCCTGAAAAATGTCTACCACAACTACCGCGCCTCACTCCCTCTACGGAGAAAACTAGGCCTACCCGCCTACATCCCCACATCCCCGCCACGAACAAGCACACACAACCGCAGCGCGCCATCAATAACACAAGAATTCAAGCTCGGCCGCGCGCAGTTTCAGCTCGTCCGCCGCTCCGCCCGCGATGTCCGCCGTATGATCCCCTTCACGCTGATCCTGATCGTCTGCGGCGAGTTCACACCCCTGATCGTCCCGATTTTCGGCTCTGCCATTACACCCGCGACGTGTCGTGTGCCCTCGCAGGTGGAGAAGGAACGCGTTGCTGCCACGGTGCGCAAACTTGCGGCGCTGGATGTGTTTGTGGCTGAGGATAAGGATCGGTCTATCCATCTACTCAAGGCGGGCAGTGAGAAGCAGTTGGCTCTTCTTGCTGGGTCCTTTGCTGACCCTGTCTGGGTCGCTGGTGCGAGTTCCGCTGATGTTTTACGTGCCTGTGCTGTTTTTGGTCTGGTTAAGCGTCATGATAAGACCGCGGGCGAGTCCCTTGCTGGTTTGATCTACCGGCCTCGGTTGGCGCGGTATGTCGAGTACCTGGCTATTGATGATGGACTGATTCGTGTTAGTGGAGGAGTTTCAGCTATGAATGCTTCTGAAGTACGGATTGCAGTTGAGGAACGTGGTGGTTTGGACGTCTCTTCTGGTACTCAAGACCTGAAACGGATGGAGGAATTGGAGAGACGCTGGTTGGATCAGTGGTTGACTGTTCGTGGAAACAGTCCCTAGTCCAAGCTGTAGTTTTGTTTTGTTTTGTTTTTTTTTTTTTTTTTTACTTCTTCTTTTTGGAAGCTTTGACTAGAAAGGTCTCTCGGCTTGCACAGTAGATGTTTTTTTAGGGATCCTTTGTATTATATCCAACATTTTGACCCATATAAAAAGCTGTACTTGAGTGTTATTATTACCAGCCGTAGAGCCTACAGACTTGACCGGCATCTTTCTATTTTTAAGTCTATGAAAACGAGACACGGAGAGATGCAAGCGCTCAAATGTACCACATATGTCAATATTGACAGTTAAACGGAATGGGTATCAAGAAACAAGCCTTCCAAGCGGAGAAGGGGAGATCATTTTCCAAAAAAAAAAAAGGAAAAAAAAAAAAAAAAAAAAGATCAAGCCATCAATTCACACCCTTAATACTTGATATATACACACCTTCAGTCCACTGTAGCAGAAGAAGCCGCCTGCGCCTGTGCCTGGCCACGGACTTGCTTCGCCCACCGCAGACCGCAACTGTTACAAAGATCACGGTTCCCACTTGGACCACGCCGCCATTCGGGGGTGTTCTTTGTGCTGCACATGGCACAGAATTTTTCGACCGCCATAGCGCTCTGCTTGCGCTTGCGCTTCCTACGGCGTGCTAATAGGCGTTGTAATTCATCGGTAAGTGTGTGGTTCTGCTTCTCTAGCTCGCGCAGCTCGATCTGCCAGCTCGATCCGCGGGTGGGGTTGAGTTCTGTAAAGAAGGTTGCTGGGTCGCCAGAGGGTGAAATGCTGCGGTTGCCAGTTGGTAGGCCGTTGAGGCCGATGAGGGTTGATAGATCGGGCATGCGTTGACCAAGAGCGCCGTACTGCCGGGGCGGGGCAGGATCATCGATGGTGAGGGTCGTGTTGCGTGCGGTGCCTGTGAGCGTAGCGAGGCTTTTGTCTTCGGCGGCTGAGATGGCGATGGCGGAGGGAGGTAAGGACCGAGCAAATCGGATCTGGGCGACGAGGAAGGTCGGTTTGATCCCCTTCCTCGTGTCGCCGGTGTACAATGTGGTATGTGCTAAAATGGCATGCCCCTTCTTATGCCACATTTGATGTTCGAATGAGGGCGGTTCATCCGTTTCTTTGCCGCCTGTAACAGTGGCCATGCCAGATCCTTGTCCACGACAGGCTGCCTCCAAGGCTTGTACGATTGTGGCAGTACCACCAGTCTCAGGCTCCATGATCTCTTGTAGGCCTTTACCAATCAGATCGTCAGGGGATCGACCGAGCACCGGCTTCACCTTGCTCGTAATGAACAAAATAACACCAGACAAAGAAATCTTAGCCCAGACGTCATTTTCGGCCAGCGCGGCGGATGAGCCCAGGCGAGCAATCTGATCCAAGGCGTAGACGGGTCGTGGGCGGCCGGTCATGACAAGATGCGTCCGGCCCTGGTTCGGGTCGATGTGCCACGCGCCGTGACTCTCGAACCACATATATCCTTTGTGCTTTTGTCTGATACGATACACCACACTCACTGGAGCTCTTGTTGTGCTCGCCCGCAAGTCACGGATTACAGGACCAATATCACTGGGATGGCAAATGGTGGACAGGGTCTTGCCGATCAGTTCGACCGGATCGTACTCTAGAATCTTGTGGCAAGAGGGCGACAGATACAAGAATTCACTGTTTAACGAAAGCACATGGATCACATCGTCAGTATTCTCAACCAGAATGCGATCCAGGTAGTGCCGGTTGACATCCTTGCCAGCTGTACCCATGGCGTTGAGAATGATAGTCACTTCGTCATGACCATACCGCAACCCAAGGTCTGGTCGTGAGTATATATCTGGTGATGGGACTATGTACTGTGGTAGCTGATCGCGCTGGTAGTTAATGCGATAATTACCATCTATATAATGTCAGTTGAGGGTTTCAAGAAAAATGCAACAAAGCATACCAGAATTCCTTCCCCTCACAGCATCGGGCTTCTCAACCAGATCGACCTGGAACCCAACATAGTACCGATAAACATCCGAATCCCACTGGATGGGGATCATCGTGATGAGATTCATGAAGGGTTGTCCACCCTTGCGGTAGTTAATTATACTCGCCTGGATCTCACTGCGATCTTCGATGGTTGACCGTAGCCGATAGACAGTCTGTCCATCAACAAAGGTCCGCTTGGCGCCAGCGTTGATCTTGCCGTCGGGTGCTTGAAGGAATCGACAGTTCCGGCCAACGATTTCATCTTTAGTGTAGCCAGTCAATCGTTCAAAGGCCTCTGATACATAGACAATTGGATGATCCTCGATTAAGATATCACACATCACAAAGGCGCATGAGAGATCTACCGCGCCAATGTTGATTTTAGGGTTGGGCCGCATAGCCACACGACCCTGAATAAGGTTAATATATCTTCAGATATACTCCGTGGGGGTAAAAAGACATACCAAAGCGCCCAGCACGTCAAAGCCAGTTGTCGAATAGATACCGGTATGTTCAGTCTTGCCAATCTCAGGCTTTTCGGGCCCGCAAATATCCTCTGGTTTTGCGCGTTCCCGCGTCAGTCATACCATGGGCCAGAGCCAACGGGGAGTGCCAGACACAGAGCACAACTCACTTTTGGCAGTAACGGGCTTCTTGGGTTGGATAGCCACTGGTTGCGATACACGGTACGACTGACTAACAGGCAGACGGCGCTCCGGGTGTTGTCGCTGAGCCTGCTGTACCTGCACCTGCGGGTGCGCGTGTGACCAGTCGCTCGTGTGACCTAGAAAGTCGGAATCTCCGAAATTGGCTGTCGAGTCTGTGCTATCGTATTGTTCCTTGCGGGGTGGCGGAGCGAGTTGGGAATAATGAGGTATCGTCATGGAGGGGAAGGGCGGGTATGTAGACTGAAACTGTGAATGATCCTGCGGAAGCATCCCCATATCTGGATAGGTGGTCGGGATATCGTAGGCATAGGCGTTGACGTCCAAATTCAATGGCATTGAGATGTCCGAGGTCGGGGTCCCATATGTGGGGATGAGATTAGACCGTTCTGGGTTCGAAGGCTGTGATTGTGAAAAGTTCTGAAGAGGTAAATCCTCATGGGGTAACATAGCACTGAAGGCATAATTTCCGTTGGAAAATGGCATATATAAAGGGTCGGAGGGTTGTGAGGAACCCTGTTCATCATCATATTCCAAGAAGTTCATATTTAAAATATCCCCAGAGTTCCATCGCGGGATGAGCTGAGTGGAACAAAAAGTGGATTTTTATAAAAAGTTCAATTGCGTTATAGGAGAGAGAGAGAGAGGGAGAAAGAGAGAGTTGATGTCTCCAAAGTACAAAAATATGTGGAGAAGTTACTCGCCAATGAGCATTGGATATTTCTTGATTCTTTTTTTTTTTTTCTTTTTTTCTTTTATAGTAGAAATAGATAAAATAAATAATAGTATAATAGCATAATAGTATATAGTATAGTAGTATAGTAGTATATAGTAGTATAGTATAGTATATAAGAAAATGTACATTCGGTCATAAGCACAGATAATAAGTATACTCTAAACCTCCTATTAACCCCCAACTCCCTTTCCCCGGCCATGGACAAGATCTCAATCACCATCTGCGGCGATGGTGGATGCGGTATGTTGCTTTTTATGATTACGGTTTCCGGGTCTAATCGGAATTCAGGTAAATCCTCCATTACCATGCGGCTGGTCCGTAGTCAATGGGTTCACGAGTGAGATCTTCCCCTTGAACCTTGGCAAACTACGCTAATATTTTTTGTTTTTTTTTTTGTTTTAGGTATGATCCAACTATTGGTATTGCGCGCCCATTTCCTGATGCTATTTTCAATACTAATTGGGTTTAGAGGATTCCTACACCGTCACCCGCAATGTCGATGGTCACCCCTACGTCCTTTCCATCACCGATACCGCAGGCCAGGAGGAGTACCGTGGGCTATGGAGTGCCTCGACCCTAAATTCGGATGCCTTCCTCCTGGTTTATGATATCACGAACCCCTCGAGTCTTGAAACGCTAGATCATTTCATGGACATGATCCATAAGGAGACCGAACAACGCGTCGAGGACAATCAGCGACTACTCCAGGAGTCGAAGAAGAAAACTGGAGTAGGTATAGGTCAACTGGGCCTCCCGCCGCCAGTTAAAATCGTTGCCGGCAACAAATGCGATCTCAAGGATGATCGCGTGGTGACATCCCGCGACGGACTTGAGTATGCACGCAAACACGGTTGCGGGTTTATGGAGACCAGTGCTCGCCAGACGGTCAACATTGAGGAGACTTTTGCACGTAAGATATTGTCTGTGTCAGCAAGGAAGAGAGTAGAGCTAATAATTGGATAGATCTAGTCCGTCGCGTTGTCGAAGCTCGCCGTCTTCAAAGCCGAGACGGTGCGCTTTCTCCCCAGTGCGCCGAACCATCGCATACTCTACCAACTGCAGACGCAATTACAGGCACCCGATCCCGTCGAAGTCGCGCGTGGGAGTTTATCAACCGGAAGACAACGGAACCAACCGAAGGTCAGGAACGAAGTGAAATTCAGAGAACCGAAAAACATCAAGAGGGTCAAAGGTGTTATGGAGGTTGCGTCTGTCAGCTCTGGTGCTTTCATTGCTCTTA